CCGCTTCTGTCAGATTTCTTTCATCTGTTATTTGTAAGGAAGAAAACAGCTGCAGGTCAAGTACACTTAGGGCAGTACAGCAGCAGGAATCACCTTGACTGCCTCATACTATCCTTAGGTGGAGGTTTAGACATCTGAAATTACACATCCCTTAGCAGCACAGGAGCAGCACACAAAATGGAGAAGAAGAGTTGCAGGCAAAGGTAACATTATTTTCTCACAAAGTCTGAAAACGGACAGATATTCTCAGTCCTTTGCTTTGTCTTCTACACTATGATTCACTTCTATTTTCCTTCACTTCTTCACTCAGTTCGGCAATCTTGAGGCAACTGTTTTGATCACCAGGCTGTGTATGTTTTCTCTTTTATAAATCATCCCTGTCTCAGTAGGATGCAGCATTACAGCCCAGTCATTTGCTTCAGGAAAGGGTTTCCTTCCCTCTGGCAGTAAGATCTCTTCTCATGTTTGTGGATCTGGGCTTATGGAGCAAACATTGGTTTAGTAACTTAAAAATCAAAACCTTCCTGTTCTTGGGCTGCATGAAGAATGTCGGCCTGAATTGAGATATCTCAAAAGATTAGGACCATGGGTGAAGATTCCAGGATATTTTCTTTTGGGAATTTTCTCCCCCTTCTGTGACGGGATCTGCAGCAGCACCCAAATCCTGCATGCAGAGGCTTACCTCTTCACACAGCCAGAGCTGCACAGATTTCTGTGCCCATGCAAGCATTCCCAGCATGGTAAATAACATGGATCTGCCTTTCAAAGGGGCTTGGGGAAGCTGGCATCAGATTCCTCTTAACTTGAATGGGGCACTAAGGCGGAAAACAAGAACTGTTTTTCCGTTGTACTCAGACATGGCATTTACCGAAAAACTGGAAAAAAAAAAGCATATGTGATGAACTTTGGCTCGATTCTGCCCTTTTCGGGAATATTTCTGGGTTTTTAATGGCAAGGAACAGAAGCGGGAGCTTAGTGCTAGTTGGCTTATATGACTGGACATCATAGAGCTTTCTTAGGAACAACGTGCCCTCTAGAATATCATTATTCACACACCTGGTTTTAACTGCCTTTTAAGGCTTAACAATCATGATAAATTCTCAAACTCTTTAGTTCTGAAATTACAGTATAATCCTCCAGAATTTTCTCTTTATTTGAAAATGAGGAAACATCTCAAATCTCATTGGGTATACATTGCTTTTACAATCACATCTGGGCACCTAGTAATTTCTATCCTCCCAGAACCTCAGTGAAGCAGGGTAGTGCATCATTGTCGCAAAACCAAAGTACAAAGAGGTTTAGTTATTTGTCCCAAGTCATACAGGGCTGAGAGAAGGCACCAGACTGATGTCTTTGTCGGTCATTGGCCAGGGCCATTCTTTTTTGACATCTTTAAAGCAAAGAGATGGAAAAAAGACTTTCTGCACAGGTAAATGAAATAGCAAAAGAGGGTAGGTAAGGCCTCCCTTCAGCCCTGGAAAAAATTCCCCTTGACTTTTCATTCAGCTCCATCCCTTGGTCTGTTGCAGTTTCTTCCCGTGATTGAAAGGGATTGAAAAGACCGAGTCTACCAGTTCACATAAATGAGTGCTCTTGTGATGCCTCTGTATGGAACAACAGTGACATGTAGTGGCTACTCCATTAAAGCACAGCAAAATAGAACTGAGAATGTTGTACAACAAGGACTGTCACTGTACAGGAAATTTACATTAATACATAAAGCTATCAGTTGAGTGGCCATCTCATTATAATGGTTAGTAAGTTAGTTTGGTGAAATACCAAGTTATGCATTACAAAACCCAGCTCAAGCACTAATTTACTAATTTCCTCCTTTCTCATGCAACAGTGCTATTTAAAAGGTAATTGCACTGTAACCTGATTTCCAAGCTAGAAGAAAATATTTGTATTGACTAGCAGTATTTGTGTGGGTAGCAACTGAAAGGGCAAGTGGAAATCTCTGAGTATAATGAAAGAAAATCTGATTAAACTGATTCAATCTCTGAATGCATCATTGGGGAGGTTTAGTAAAATTATCTATCCAACTTTAGGCAACTGAGTAGGCACAGTCCCATCAGAAAAGCTGAACTATGGCAATGGATATTGGTTAGTCCAAGGTCACAAGGTTAATCTGTGGCTAAATAGGATTTTGGGAATACATTTGTCATTTTGGAAGACCATGCTGTTTTCTGAGGGCCTTCAATATTTTAATGCTTGTCATGTTGTCTAAATTCTGAAGGAATTAGGAGTTAAGGGGGGATTTGCTACGCAATCACTTTGCTCTCTGCGGGATTACTTTCTGAACTCCTCAGGGCATCTGTTCTCACAGGCTTCCCAAGACAGGGGTGTTAATCACAGGCCTGGCTGTCTTTGAAAAGATGCCGGCTTTCCTATATTGAATTCAATCCTCTTCCCAAACGGGTGAGTACACAGTTAATCAGACTTTCCGAAATAAAACGGCAGAAAGGCAGCTTTAGGAGTGGATGTGGGAGTTACTACCACAATAAAGAATGCAGGATTGCTCAGGGTAGGATTGATGAGCTCTAGATTGTGTGTAGGAAGAGGCTGGTGAAGTTAGAGAGGGCAGTTTGAATTATAGGACAGATATCCCAGTTGTTATGGTGATGCAGCTGTACTGCGAGGGTCCCTTTGCATTGCTATTATGGCCAAGGAAGAGGAGTAAGAGGGGTTTCTGAATAGGGCAGCTGGAAGGTGAGCCCACAACAGACTTGGAGAGGCACACTTGTTCAGGAGACTGTAACTCACAGTAGCATGTCCTGGGACTTAGGAGCTTGGAAAAACCACAGCAGAAGCATAGAAAATGAAGAACTGAGTATGAAACAATTCTGAGGGTGAAGTCTGAAAGAGGTATTGCATTTGGTTGGCTGAGAAAGCATCCATTGGACTTTTTTTTTTTTTTTTGGTTTCATTAAATACACCTGAATTTTGAGAAAGAATTATCCTGTTTACATTTTTTATTGTTCACTGTATTAAACACTTCTCTGCTTTGGAATTTCTCTGAATGAAACTGGCCTATTCTGGTCTATTCTGTTTCTCCATATGCAGAATTTTTCCATTTTCTCATAATTATCTTTGGACCAAATCAAGATCCTGTCACACTGCATGGGAATTTTGCGACAAACAAGAAGGAGATACAGCTGCCAAGTTTGTTGGCTACAGATGTTGCCCTGCTTGTAATGTATTGTGTTTCCAAAGAGAAAGGCACATAATGGAATTCAAAACACTTGGTTTTGTAAGTGCTACAAGTTTCTTTCGCTTCTATGGGTTTCTGCCCGACAGTTATAAAACTGTTTTATGTGTCTTTTTGCATAATTAAATGCTTCATTGTATAATACTAGGCAAATGGGAGCTGTGACAATAACAGGTTTATGATGCCAAAGGGTTTTCATAATGCTGATGCAGCCAACTCCAAAAGGCTGTGGAAAAGAGACTCCTTCATGTTCAGTCCCTCTGTAGGCTGCAGGCATTAAAGACAATGCTGGCTTATAAATATTTGAGGAGGCTGGGTTGGATGGAGAAATACGTTAGCCCCTTCAGCAACCAGATGTGCTGTCCAGAAGTATAAGCCAAGAGCAAATGCAGTTCAGACATTGGCAGCCAAATTCATTTTAACACCTAGGGAGCATTACACAGAGAGAGGCCATGACAAGTATTTGCCTTGTCCCTGGCAAAAATGAAAACAGCAAAATAAATAGCCAAGAACTCTTCAGGGAGCTGCTTGCCATCTCTCAACTCCCAACCAAGGAGTCTTCCAGCTAGCTCTGAAATGAGTGGTATAAAAAGATTAGCACAAGGGCTGAGGTGCCACTTTTAAACACACAGCTCATCAGCTCTGGTGTGCTCCAGTTGAAATGTTAAATCTATCAGCTTAAGCCACCACAGGCGTGGGCTGCAGAGCTGGTGCACTGAACAAACTTTTTAATTCTGAAGAGCAATGGGAGATGGCTTGAAAGAATACATATACTGAAGCATAAGAGCTTGGCTGATTAGCAGCAGCTCATTAACGGATGATAACTTGCAAGCTTAATATTCCATATCGCTTCTTTTCTGACATTTTTGCAAGTACTCACTTCAGTGCCTTGTTCTCAATAGCAATGGTATCTGGTTCCTTTTAGGTGATAGTCTGAGAAACTAGGTGATGCATCACAAGGGATTTCAGTTTATCAATCCTGCTTCAGTCACTGTGGGATATGACATTGCATTGCTCTTCCTTTGCTTGTATACTTCGTTCCTTAGGCCTGCAGACTGAAACTGCTTGAGAGATCTGCTTGAGGACTGTAGTACCGGAATGTGTGAACTACCCCAAAACACTGTTCGTGCAACAACCAATCTGATGATCCAGCACCACTTAACCACAGTTAAGAGCAGAAGAGAAGCTCTACTCTAATATTTTGGCTTTGAATCAGGACAGACATGTTTGAGCTGACTCTGCAGAGGAGTGTCAGTGACCAGGAGTGCACAGTGCTGCCACCATCCCCAAAAAAGGCAGAATGACTCTAGAAACAGAGTTAGGATTAGTTTCTTCTATTTGGAGCATTGTAGCATTCAAAATTCAGTGAAGTCTTGGTGAAATTCACTTAAGTCAGACTGAGTTGAAAGCAAAACTTTCTTTTTTGTTGTTTTTCTTTATGTGTTGTTTTTTTTTTTTTTTTGAAACACCCTCTTTACTGGAAGAGGTTAAAGAACTAGGGAGCCGTAGAAGACAGTGCCATGTTCTGGACCAACACTGAAGTCTGTTCAGCTCATTTGGTCAGTTTTTAGATAGCAGGAAATAGGCTAAAATATAAAGCTATCTATTTTTCCCTTACTATTTGAAGCCTCAAGTGCATTTCAATTTGATTGCTTTGACATTTATGCCAAAAATGCAAATTAAAATCCATACTGTTTGGTCTATTCAAAACTTCATTGTCTGTAAAATGGCTGTAGGCTCTTTTGCTATAGAATAAAGATTTAACAATGTCTTGTGATACCTTTTAAAAACAAGAAAGATCAATGGTATGTTTCTCATCATTTGACAACTTAAGGTGGCCAGATGCTGGCAGCTGCATCCTAAAGCAGTAAGTGATTTAGCAGTTGCTAGATGAGATTCTGCGCACTACTGAAAAAGAAAAAAAACAAAGGGGGGGTCCAGTGAGCATAGAAGTGTCTTCTGTTCTTGAAGCCGTACTGATAATTCCAGGTATAAAAACGTTCTCTTTCCAAATTCAGCCAACTGCTCAGTGGTGCCACAAGATGTCAGCAGAGACTGCTGATTCTGTGCAAATCAAGAAAAAATACAAATGATAAAATAAAAGTCTCTATAGACTGGGAATTCTAGCTATGATTACTAGCACTACACATGTTTCACCCAAACAAGATAAGGTCCATCAGTGCTGACTGCCACTGCCAACAGTAGTATCTGCCACCACTGCATTTTCTGACAGTGGAAGGTAACAGTAACATAGCAGTTAAAAGATCTGTCAGGAAGTGGGAAAGGGAAGGTTGAAGGCCCTGTAGGTCAAATCTGGCCCTCAAGGTAGCACTTTTTGGCCTCCGATTTTTTTTGGCCAAATCACTGAGTGTTTTCAATTGCTTGGTTGATAAACATGTTTGTCCAGTCAAATTGGGAGCACTGAGGGCCAGGGGAGACCCTCTGGAGTATGGTTGTGCTGATTCCAGGGACAGTAATACATTTTTGGGAAAATGTAGCAAAGAACTGGGTATTAAATAACCAATAGTTTCAGCACATTTAAAAAATTGGTGAGAACATTTGTATTAAATCAGATGAAATTCTCTCCAAAATATTTTCCCTTTCTAGTATAACTCTTCAAAACTCATAAAACTATTCCATATCTTTTCCTTTTGGTATTCTAAAGGAATTTAAGAGAAATTCAGGGATTATACAAACCTACACTGCAGGAAACACTCTTTATTACTATTGTGCTAGGCATTGCATAAAGCCAGAATGAGAAATTTAGGAAAACCACAGAAATGCAAATAACTTTAATTCAGTGAGAAATTAATTGGCTCTTTGTGATCTTTCTGATCATCTGAGTATTTTTATTGTAGCTGAATACGTATATGATAAATACCTACCATATGTGACACAGGCACTTCAAAAGTATCGCATTATCTGTAGAATAGATCTGCACAAAAAAAAAAAGTTAAAGAAAAATAGGTGGTTTAGATCTTTCATATTTTTGTAAATAATTCCCAGCTGCAATATCATTCTATTTAATTTTTCATCATTCAAAACCACTATAAAATAATATCTATAATAAACATTAGAAAATAACTCAATGATACCTTACTATAACAGCTTATAGTAATATCTGAGTAATATACAAATGGCTTAATAATGTTAAATAGCCTCAGCAGCAACTAAAACACAGAGTTTACATTTTACATAAGACATGTAAAATAATTCATTTAAGCACATGCAATTTGTTTTTCTTGGTAGAGCTGATTTAGTTTGCTTTAACTCATAAACTGACTACACTGTAGTCAACTGGTGATTCTGACTAGAATTCTTCAAATAATTTGAAGTATTTCCTATTGCTATCTTTACCTGCAGTCTTATTTTATAAAACAAAGCTGCATTAAGGTGTGAATTACTCATTGACAATATTTACCTTAACATGGACTCCTTGGTTTCCAGCATATATATATACACATATATATAATTTATATCTCTGCAGGCCTCCAAAGGCAGCAGAAAGTCACACATAGTTAACAATTTCCAAGTATCTCTGATGGACAAAGGCTGTCAATATGTCTGAGATCCTGGGCCTTAATAGGAGCCTCAGAAAAGAAAGCAAAACCTAACTGAACTGTGTAGTCTGGTCTACTCTGAGGCACTTTGCTAGGATAGTAGAAAGGAGAAGAGAGCAATAAATCTGTCATCTTCTAAGCAATGAATGGAGATGTTTCATGAGTTGTCAGTTTAAATTGTTTTGGAAGTATTAACAGTATAATATACTTTCCTGTAAAGTCACAAAGCATTCCTTATTGAGAACATCTGAAATGTTTTACAGCTTTATCAGAATCTTTGTGTTTTGTGAGGGGAAGAGTTTACGTCAGTCGGCAAGACTCTCGGTCACAGCCTAACCACTTCATTATCCCTAGGGAGCAGACAGACCAAGTGATCCACATTTCTAGGCTCTGCAGCATTCCTTTGTGCATTGATACCTGTTGTTCACAGTGTCTGCTCACGTTGCCGTTTCAGGCCCACTACTCTTGCTGCCAGGAGAAACACAGCGCCGGTGAGCACTTCTGCAACAAAGGAGATCCACACTAGTGCCAAAGACCAGCCAAACCTGATGTCGATTTCTACCAAGAGATCCTTACTCCTCAGCAGGCAAACTGCTTCTTTGAAGGCAGCAGCTGAGTAGGCAATATAGACGCTGATCCCAGTAAGTGTAACAAGAGCTAGGAAAGAAAAGCATATTCAGCTAGTTAGGATCCCCCCCACAGAAATTAAAACAACTTAGTCTGACACCTCTTGGGGTTCCTTTAATATTCCATTTTTATTGACTGAGGCAGGATTCCTGATTAGCCCCCATTTATCTTTCAAATCTAGTTGAGACTGTTCCTCTGGGAAGGCAAGAGGAATGGAAGTAAAGTGAGAATTAGCTCTGCATTATAGTCTAATACACTATAATTGTTAAATACTAACTCAGAATGTTTAAGAGTAAGCCTATTAAGTGCAGTCTTTTATAGATATCTAATGTATATACAGATCTGCTTGCAATACTGTATTACAGTGAATGCAAATTTCTTACTGATCTGCACTATATACAGTTGTGTCCTTTTATGTGAGAAATCCCATGGACAAAAACATCCTTGCACTTTAGGTTAGTGATTTGAATTTAGGTTGGTTTCTAATTTGAGGCATCCTAAGTTTTGGTTGTTCTGTGTAAACATTGGTCTTTACTGTCAGGTGTTATGAGATCCTGGCTCTTCAGTACTTGCTAATAATTGCTCCAAAGATATCATTGGAGCAGATTAGAAATAAATTATTGAAGGCGATCAATCAAAAAGCCTGTTGTTTTCAGAATGAAAGGGCTGTGAAGAAGATGGCTAAGGTGGGAATGGCAGATTTCAGACGGGTAGGTGCTAGATCATGTGCCTGGCATCTATGACAGTCAAGAATATGAACCTAGCACCTGTACTGCATCACAGGCAGGAAAGAGCAGTTAGAAACATCCTGAAATAGCAGACTGGTCCAAAGCAAGCAAGAGATACTGTAACGCTTTTAGGACAAAAGAGTGCCTTATCTGCTAAGAGTGATCTGGTTTTATATTAAAGTGTAAACCAAGTTGTATATTTTGTCAGGAAGATAAATTCAAATAGAAGAAAAGTAAGAGTACTGGATCATCCAAGAGTCAAAATCCACTTTCACATTCCCAATTTACACCATGCTATTATGACTGTGCCTTTCTCTAAGCTTCTCCATACTTCATGACAGCAGAAATGCAAATGACCATTTTGCTGAAGTTTTCAATAAGGTTTGTTGTGTTCTGTGATCTTCCTCAAATGTGGTTGTATTTAGGAGATAGCAAAGTAGGATATCCTGGATTGTGGAATATTTCCATTCCAGTATTTTCACAAAACCCAAACTGAAGTTTCTGGAACTGTACCATAAGGTATTTTTCATCTGGGAGAGCATTATTTGATCAATGCTGCTCCCCTGCAGACCGCGCTGCTCGAGCAGGAGGATGATCTGGTCTCTCATCAGAGGCTACTCACCAGTTTTTCCATGCTGTCCTAGGACACAGCACTAGTTGCATCTTCAGAATAAATCTAAAACCACTCTGAATACCATCTCTATGTCTCTTGACTCCTTGCAAACCAAGGGCCTTGGGAACATGTGCTCCTCCACACCTCAGCGGGATAATTATGCTCTATGCTTCCCAGCTTTTCATCTGACTTTCTATTTATGTCAGTTTCCAAATTGCTTAAGCACACCTTTTTTAGTGGATATAGCTTTTTGATGTATTAAGGAAACAGAGCTTCTATTTCTCACAAAGGAAAAACATAATGGGAGTGCTTGGTCTTTGTAAAAGCATTTCAGATTGCAAAGGCCAGGCAAGACTTTGAGACAGCTGCACATTTATTTCCAGCAATCTCGAGTCTTTCTCTTCACAGAGGCAGGACTGTATGATCAGGTGATAAGGGCCAATACTGAGAATTCCATTTTCTGTTGGAGAAAACTTCTATTTCAAGTTTCATTATGAAGTTGAAAGTCTATTTGGCAAAGAAAATGGAGACAGATTTAAGCCCAGTTATCCTATTTTGATGGAATGCTTTTGGTTTTAATTCATAAGTGCCTTTCTAAAACACAGAGGTTTTTGATTACAGCAAAAATAACAAAAACACAGATTTTAAGAGAGTTTCACTTGATTCAGAATGAAATTTTACACTTTAACTAAAATAACTTTTGGGGGTTTTTATTTGTGAGCATTTCAAAATATTATATTTAATTTTACTAATCTGAACAAAAGCAACAAAAATAGGAGCAAAACGGACTTTCCAGCCCCAACAAAAGGCTGGTTATGTGACAGTGTCACTATCAAATGAAGACAGGAGAGTCAGGTACCAGCAGATAACAGGTAGCTGAAACAGCAACACATGGGCAGATTTCAGTGGATCTTGAGTGAAGCACAGTCACCGCACTCCTCTTCCATGTGAACAGCGCTGCCATTCTTCACCCAGCTAATGCCAAAAAAGATGAAGGGGTTAATGCCTAGTGTGACTTTACAGAGCAGTATTTTCAGGATGCCTGTCAGGGTGTTATGGGCTGAGGCAGACTCCTGTCACACCTGTGTTTGGAGCAAGGATTAGGACGCAGTTCTGTTGCTGTTATGAATAAAGTCCCATCGCGCTGGGATTAAAGAACTCTCATGTTATTTTACAGCAAAGATAACCTATATTACATGTACAAAATTTCATCATATTTGTCAAATAAGATGTTGTGCAATTGGCCTTTGTGAAAAAAAATCAGAAAAAAAAACAGAAAAATGTTCCTATGACTCAGTCCCCAAAACAGCCTTACATAAGCCACCTTAATCACTGTTACACTTTTACGTAGTGGCCAGGGAAACTTCACCTTCTTCCTTGGACATTGTTTAGCTTTCTTACAAACCACTGAAGTCCTGAAGCCTGCTGCTGCTGTGCCTCAAGGCTGTCTGTGGCAGGCTGTGCTGGGATGGTGCAATGAACTTTATGACCCCTCAGAGTTTGGGGACAATACTCTATTTCAAACCTAACAATTAAGCTAGTCCAAGAATCCCTAACAAGACCCTTCTCAGAAACTCAGTGCAAATGCCTTGGAAAAACTATCATGCATCTTAGTTGTAAGATCAGTGCAAGGTCATTGAACCCCAGCCTCTCCTGTTTCTAAAGGTACTTCTGCATTCTTTCAGATTTAAAGTCCTGTCTGTGAAGAGTTGGGCATTGTGCTGAGAAGGTATTTAAGCCTTTGTGTTAATGGATACAAGAGACACATTGGTTCAAGAGGTGCCTAACTCCACAAAGGCATATTTCTGTGTCTGATCATTTGCATTTCTTGGCTGTAAGTGGCAGCTTTCTATTCCAGAAATCCAACAGGAAAGGAGGCAGACATCAAGTGAATGAACACTGGCATTATTCTGACAGAAGGCTCTCGCCTAGCTCTTTTCCCTAAAAGGCAAAATACTGTTTCCCAGATGTAGCTTTTTGCTATCTAAAATGATTAAGCCAGGAGTTTGATATAGTACCTCCAAAAAGAAAAAGCAGCCCCGTCATTAGAAGCAGTGGGTAGGCCCTGGCAAGAATACTGACGAATCCAGTCATTCCTCCAAAAATCATCAATATCAGGCTGAGGGGCATCAGGATGACAAATGTTCCATGCATGTCTGAAAAAAAAATGAAGAATGTTAATTTCATATTATGGTGTCATTATATGCATTACTTCTGAATGTAGAGCCCCTAATCAGGTTCACAGTCTTGCGCACAGGTGCTGCACAAACAGGAGTGGGACAATCTCTGGCGTTTTCAGTTTAAATAGGCAGAACAAATAATGTACAGAGAAAAAGTATCACACAGAGTGAACCTCTCACAGATCACAGTGTTTTAAATAGAGACGAGAAAGATAAAGGGTATGTCTACATGGACACGTTTAAGCAATTAGACTGTTCTGAAATATTCAAGCTAACAAGATAACAGGTGGTGCATTACCTCTCAGGTAGCCATTGGCAACCTTAGCCAAAAGTAACCCTGATTATCTGAATAATAAATATCACAGTGAATGGTGCTGCTCTGTTTGGGAGGTGATATCTAGCAGATGTTTTGGTTAAACCATTTATTTTCTCTTGTGTTCTCTGCTGAATTGAGCTAGCAAATTGCTGACCTCTTCCTTCATTGCAGCTAAACAGCAAGTTAACATTGGAAGAAAATTTTCCCACCCAGCTCTGACTCTCTGTATCTCTTACTCTTCTATACAACAGTTCCACAAAATACATTAACTTATACTGGTTGCTTCCTCCTATGCTGAATGTTTTAAATTTGTCTTTATTGATCTCTATAACATTTTAATAACTGTACAAACAGTGGGTTGCTGTATATTTTTTCTACCATGCTGTTATTTCCATCATAAACCACCTTTGTCTCACTGTTCTCTCTCATGCAATCAAAAGCCATCTATCCATAATGTTTTCACATAATAAGAAAAAAATATATATAGTAACTCTAGCTTCCAGCATACATTTATTTCATGCCAGAATCAGAGTTACTGAGAAAGGAAAATATAAATACCATTTTCTGAGGAGTTCTAGACTTCTACTTCCCATTTCATAGAGGAACAACAACACAACATTAGCTAGACCCCAAGGAAAAGGAGTAATTTAGGACATCGGAGTTTGTTTGTGATCAGACGATCAATTTTTTAAGTCACTAACTCCTCACTGAAGTGGAGATACACCCAGTTTCCCCGGCTAAGGATCTAGCTTAGCATTTTCAATACCATGTTAAAGATTTGACAGAATTGTAGATCAGCTTGTGCTGCCTCTGTGCTTTGTCGTTTTGGATAAATTAATTTACTCCATTTCTTTGGAGCAGTGATCTGTTAAGTACTGCTCTGCAACACCAGCTTGACTTTGCAATTAGGTAAAGACTATTACCTTGTTAATAAAGGTAAGGATTATCCTCCTGTTACTTTCTATAGAAAGAAGAATCTGCAAATTCATCTTCAATTTTCCTCTTTCTTGGAGAAAGCTATTGATGCATGAAAGTAACTTCTTCCCCATATGCCTCACAGCTATTACTGTAAATCCACTGAAGTGATTTGAAGAAGGTTGGTGTAAATTGAAAGAAAAACTGCTCTATGTCTAATAAATAAAATGCATCTCAGTTCAGTTCTAGAACAAAACAATTAGAATGATCTTAGCGTGCCTGAAGTGCCTTGCAGTATGTCAAGGTCTTATTTATGTGTTTCTTAATGGAGTAGGAATCCTTTCAAATATTCCCAGGGAGTTAACAAAACCTATAAAAAAGAATATATTCTCATAGCAAATGAATTCCATATACTTCCCCAACAGCGTCAGCTGATGTAGAGAAAGCAGAACTCTGCAACAGAGAGAACACTTTCCTTGGTTCTAAATCCAAGGATACTTTCTGAGTTTTCCTTCAACACAATTACCATGGCTCCTGTTGTTGGCTAAGGAACATAACATGCTAGTACTTCTCAGACACTAACAGTCAAATCATTCTTTCGGCTTAGCAGGTACAAACCAGTATGTCTCAACAGTCTGCAAATCTTAGTGGGCTACCAAAAAGAGAAATAGTTATGGAAGTTAGTTCTGGAGTTTTATATGGTTAGAACAGTTTGTCAGGGATATGATGGGACATAATATGACAGAACAGAGATCTGCCAAACAGTTTAGTACCCATTTTCCTCAGAAAAAGCAGGCTCCTCTTCAGCTCCATTTATGCTTCCTAATAATATTAGGCTTGATTTTGAACCCTTTCCAGAGTCCAGACTATTTTGATATGCTCTGAGATTGGGTCATGCACGGAAGAGGTGAATAGACCTTTGAGGTGGAAAAAATCCAACACAATTGGGCATCTCCATCCTCAGACCTGACTTTGCTGGGAGGCAGCCATATAAACATGGTCAAGACTGGGCCTGTGCTTTTATTTTCTAGATGCCCCTCACTAGTGAGGCAGAGTTGCTGATAAACTGTATCCAGGAAAGTGGTACTAGCAGTTGCTGTTACTTGGAGTGTGATTTTTGTAGATGGATGTCAGCTAATGCTCCTAGCACCATCACTTTAGCTAGCACAAGAGTGGGTAAAGATGTGGCTCTACATGTAACCTTTTCTTTTGTACCACAGGAAACACAAATCCATACTAGATCACTCTCTTGCTTCCAGGTGGTTTAGCAAAGTGACAGAAGGTCTTAGATTAGACTTTAATCTACGTCACACATATGACCGTTGCTTGCAAAAATCAGAATGACTTTGATTTTTCTTCCTTCTCCACTGAAAGTAAATTTCAGAAATATCCTACGATTCACCTGCAGCTCTTCTGATATGAAAAATTTAATTGCACTATACTTGGTTAGAGTACTCATCACCTTCATTCATTTCATCACCTTCATTGTTCTGGTTCAATATCCAATACCTTCTCCTGCCTCTTCTATGGAACCTGCAACTGGGAAATTTATTCCGAAATGCTGCCATGGAAACAATTCAGGAATCTGAATTCCTACCATCTGGCATATGATATTATGCCATTACATTCCTTGATTAGAAGGTCAGAATTAGTTTATGGAAGGACATGACTTAAAATATCTTTACTGTATTTCTGTCTTCAACAATCATCTTTTAGAGAAACACAAATATAAATTCTGCTGTCAAACATTTTCTTTCTTGGAGATTGGGTTGAAGTATATCAGAACTATCTTCGTTCTGGTGACATAGATCTAGTATTGAAAAAACATAAAGCATTTTGCACATGGAAGAGTATATGCACTCTCCCATAAAACAGTTCTGCTTTCCCACATCTATTTCTGAATAATACCTGACTTTGTTTTCAATGTAATCCACAAGAGGTAATAGTTTAACTTTGAAAATGCTGGAACAAGATGACAATCATCCTTTTAAACCCTTTTTTGGTAGCAAAGAATACTTTGCTAGATTTGAGTTCATGAAGCTTTACATTAACTTGCTAAGGCTGTTTTACTACAGCTCTGACCAGCTGTCTATAAGAATGTCATCTGCAGTTTACATCTAGAGCTCTCATGAATCTGGTAGGTATTTCTAAACTACCTTCCAAGAAAGTACTTGATGAGAAGGGGCTTATAACAGAAAATTGTGGAAAGGGTTTGAAAAGTAGATACTATCAAAAACAGCTGACTGCAGACCTAGCAGTCTTGCTAATCTCCTGTTAAGAACATGCTATAGCTTTGTTGTTCTAAACTAACTTCATATTTGTGTACCTTGTTATTGGAATTAATCTCTAGAAATCTGTAAAATAGTCTCTAAATCTGTAAGTCACCCCATCACAAATGCTCTGAATGGAAGCAGCTCAGAACAGCTAAATTAAGGACCTGTTTATCTTCCCCAACTCTAACTTAAATAGCCAAAAAGCTGAACGAAAGTCTGTAGCGCAAAGAGAATCCAGACAGTAGATAAAAAAATAGTGGGTCTGTTTTGTAAAGGACTATGAAAAATAAAACAAGTGTACTCAGAAAGCCTGACCTGCTAAGAAGAAAGAAAACAACACAGAGGAACTGAGAGCAACAGAAAGAACTACTGTCTGTGGTCAAGTGCAAGAGCAAGGATTCCGAGCTAGAATCCCAGGGACACCAATGTCTCAACTGCCTTCTGTTCAGTAGAGAAATGATGATAGCAGAGGAGAGCTCACAGGATTAGGGTATTCCCAGATGCTCAGTTGGCTTCTTGGGTTTTGGGTTACATGTTTCAGTTTTCTAGTCTTCTCTAGTCACAAGTCCCTAAGCGAAACTGAAACCTAACTGCAGAAAGCAAAACTATAATTACACTTTCAGTTGGGCACTGAAAGAATCTTGGATACATGGAGGAATTATCAATGACAGCAAAGCCATATGGATCTTGTTCTACTGCTGTTACACTATTTTCATTCATTAAGAACATTCATCAGAAGTTGCCAGTCATTAGTGCTCAATTGCAGCAATGCTACAATCATCTCAGATTTCTGTATACACACACCACAGTATCTTCTGTAACCACTGAGGTAGACGCTCACTGAAACCTCTTTGAAGCACCAATCCACTGTTGCTCAGAAAGAAATCAGATCATATGAATTAAGCTAGAATTTCTATGCATTTCATTTGGGGCACACTTAACTTGGGACTCTGAACTGGCTGGTGCAGCTGTTGCATTATAATACCTGAGGTGCTGATAATCGTTGCTACAGCAAAGATCATTTTCTTGCAACAAATGCTGACCTCCCTGCAGCTTTACGGCTCCAAGAATATCGATGTTGAAAAACAGAGTACTGTGGGGAGAATAATTCAAGCAGTGTGCACAGTCTTGGTATCATAAGAGAAAAAACAACATTTTCTTCTAGTTCTTTGTAAGTGAAAACCACAGCCATTAACTGATCATCACTGGATGGCTAAGGCTAAGTGAGAGCACTAAAATGTGACGTGTATCAGGAAATGGGCCATGGTGTTCATATCATTAACCAAAAATACTAATCAGAATTTTCAGGGATTTAATTATGCCTTATAGGTAACTAATGCAGTTTGGTTTGTGCATCAGGAGAAAAATCTACTAAGGCAGCCATTAAGAAATACCAATATTTCCTTTCTTATTATTGTTTTTAGTACTGCCCCAAGTTCTGCAGTGCATATGGGCTCCCAATCTAGTTTGGGGTACAAAGATGAGATCCATAAGAAATAGTCTGTATCCGTTCGCATTTTTGGAACAGAATGGCCTCTGGCATACCGGTCAAACAATACATTAAAAGTGTCTTTGATGTGACAAAAGAAAAAGAAGAAAAAGCTGCAAAGCTTTTTTTATTTGTTTTTAGGCAACAAATGTTGGGGGAAGAGAGACGAAGCAGCTTAAATTCCAAGATGTTTTGCAGAGAATCAGCTGCAGCTAGGAAAGGAGATGGAAGGATCTAGATGAAAGTGATTTTTATGTTATCAGTTAGGAATCATGCTCCTGCCATAAGTGATACATCCAGCAACCAGTCTCTTGAGTTCTCAAAGTCAAGTTCATAGGAGATTTTATGAAAAGGAACATTCATATCCAGCTAGATAGACTGAAGCAGTGTGGCTAAACACAAGAATATTTCAGATCTTTCAAACCTGCTGCTGTTGGTAAAAACACATTTGTAAACAAGCGCCCAGAAACATAACTGGCTTTTCAGTTTCTGCATGGAACTGGCAGGCTTCCATTATGCCAAATTAACAGAACAGATGCAGAAAAAAGAAATAATAGTCATTTTATGTCCTCAGAGGGATTTCCATTGAGAAATAGATCTTTTCATGTTAGTTCATCAAGCCTTACATTTTTCCCTTCCTTGTTTACATCCACAGTAAACAATATATTTTTAAAGGCAGGAAAGCTAGTGGAGGATGTCCACCAGCATCTTTCTTTAGGCTATGGCTGATATTTTAAAAGAACGCACAAGTATCCCACAACGTATTCTTTAGTGTGATACTTTACATGCAGTGTGATGCAACCTATGTTCAGCTAAAGAGAGCTGAGAGAAAAGAAGTGAAAGCCTGATACACAGGCCTGCTTATGTCTAAGCCACTTGAGAAACTGCTCAAAAGCATTCTAGCAATGAGAAAATACATCACATTATCAAAGTTAACAAGACTTAGCCCGATTGCCTGAGTAAAGCCACTGCTGGCACAGAATTAACTTGTACACCCAACTTCTCCAGTTTGTCAAGAACTCTATTTGGGAATTGCTGGGAATGAATGGGAGAGAAAGTGGAAGTGTGACAGGACAAAATGTGAAGGCTTTTCATTCCCTAATGAAGGGTTTGTCTTCAGGCAGTGACCAGCACATCTGTTTCCAATGAAAGTGAGAGTTCAGCATCCCAGAACTGTCCTCCAAAATTTTTGTAAAACTATATGTTAGATGAAGGTCTAAGAGTGCCATGATCTACACAAGTATCAGTGATTATTGTGAGAAACTACTTAAAGAAGTATAAGGTGGAAGCAGATATACCTCTGCACTTGATAAATCTTGACTCTTGGAAATCACCTATTCTTCCTAAAAGTAGAAATCCTGGCACTTCCTGTGTTTAGCAGCTATTGCTGTGGGTCTGCAGCCTCACCAAACTGAAAATGTAAAAAAACCCAAACCGTCAGGCTGTGGGACATTTTAATGAACCTTAATAAATCTTTTTAATTAAACTATCTCTGACCTTTGACCTTTTCGTTTGGAGCAGGTTATCTCTGATTTTAATAAAATATACTTTTATTAATAATAAGTGCTTTTGCAGGCCTGAAGTCTTTGTGCAGGATCTTTGCCAGAAGTAGCACTTGATGAAAGAAAGAGCTACGAATTTCTCTGAGGCTTCAAGGAGTCTGTAAATGTAGTTTTGAACCCAGTTTTTATTCATAGTCAATATTTCCTTACCATTTCATGACAACTGAAGAGCTGTCTTTTGTTTCTAAGCCAGCACCATTTTAATAACAAAAAACTCTGTATAGCCTCTGATTCTGTTTTGGCAGAATCCAACATTAGCTGAACAGTTGCAATCTAAAAACTTCTTCCCTAAGAAGAATTACAAATGTAGCTTTTGCAAACATGAACACAGCTTTTCAAATGCTAATACTTTTGTCCCAAAAACTAGACTATCACTAGCATAATAGTTGATACTTATATCTCACATCTGGTTGGGTTCAATTAAATGCAAACTGTGAACCTCAAAGGATTAAAGTAAACAATCATTTTGACTTATCCTCCTCACTATTGCCAACAACACCAAATAGCAACAACTCTTTGTCCTAGGCAAGAACGATTAAAGAAATTGCACCTTTGCATTTGAAAGCACAGAGACTGTGTCATCTGCCGTGAGTCTGTCAATATGTTTGTACTGCTGTCCCAATTGTTTTCTACAATTTTATTCCTACTAGACTCCAGTTCCTAGTGCGATAAAACTATAATAGCATCCGTATCTCAGGCTTTTTTAGTCACATTTGCTGTATTTGTAGATGTATCTTGAGATTTTACTCCAAAAGCCTACAGAAATGTCGAAGGCTAGCTTAGAGAAACAGCTGACTTTGGGGGAAATAATACAATTTTAAGGCACACAACAAAATCATATATTCTGCCTAAAAGGGGAAAAATTACCAGAATCAGAGAATCTCAGAAAAATCTTTCCCTTGAAATCAGAAACCTTGTAAGTGGCTAGGAAGAAGAAAGAGATGGATGAAAGTATAAAAAAAAATTTATATATAAAAGTTACTCACATAAAAGCTGTCTGTGTGAAGCAGTGATGTTTACACCGTCATGCCAGAAAGGGTTTATCAAAGGATAACACTTGCTTCTAACTGATAGAGAAGGAAAACAAAAGTCAAATACTAAAATATTTTTTAAATGTACATAGAACAATTCCTTTGATATTGTCTACTTTATTCAAAGTCCTTTGCAGGCAAGGAAGGAGGGAAGGGGATTTTCACTACTCAGCATTGGCCAATTGCTGCTGCTGTCAGGCTAAGCCCTAGCTACTAAAGTCTCCTAATTTCCACAGGTCCCAAATCACAGGGAATTGGATCATTCCTTTGACCTGCGCCTTCACTTGCCCTCCACTGAAAGTCTTGACTCTGTCTGTTGCACATTACATTATATAATTAATATTTCTTACATTACCTTGTACATATAAAATTATATGCTACATAATATATAGCAGAGAATATTATTTCTAATTTTCAGTGATTTAACACAATAGGAATTTTGCTTAACTCAACCTAATTCCCTCTTCAGTCAAACAAAACATGACATCTATTTCCTTCTAAATATTTAATGCTTATTAAATTAGTTTGAATTAAAATAGAAAAATGAGTTTACAGCAGCAGTAAATTTGCTGAACCCATGTCTCCTTTGACAAGTAGGAAGACTTAGAGATTTGATATACAGCAGAGAGAGGGGAGAGAGAGGGGAAAAAAAAAAAAAGAAAGAAAGAAAAAGAAAAAAAGTCAGAAGCCTGGACTGTTTTTCTGAGGAGGCTGTGACTGCGGAGCTGCTCGGTATTTACAATAAGGCCCACCAAGTGCTAACCCCCGCGGAGGCTGGAGGGCTGTGAGCTCTTTTTCTCCCCCCGCCGTTGGTTTCGGGCAAGGGCCGCCCTCCTCCCCGGCTGCGCGCCCCGCGCGACTCACGCCGGCAGGTCCGCCAGAGCCCTGAGTGCGAGCTGAGCGCGTCCGTGCCGTTGGCGGCCGCCTCCACCTTGGAGGCGTCGATGATGTACCAGAAGTCCGTCCCGATGGCCACCACGAGGAACACGAAGCTGGAGGCTCCCACCAGCGCAACGATGAGGGAGAGGGCGCTTAAATTGATCTTCATACTGCCGCTCCACGCCCGCGGCAGCACCGCTCCGCAGCGCCGTCCCCACGGCCGCAACTAGCGGCCCCGCCCCAGCGGCCCCGCCCCTAACGGCCCCGCCCCAACGGTCACTCCCTAACGGTCCCTCTCTAACGGTCCCGGTTCCTCCTGTTCTTTACCATCCAGATCCCTGAGAAGGAGGGATGTGCCATAATCTGCCATAATCTGACAGTGCGAGGGCACACGATAGCATGGCAATTGCTGTGTGTGGCAGCGCCGCTTGGTAACTTTTTCCCGGCAAACTATCCAAAGTGTCCAAAGTATTATCAGGGCTCTTGACTGAGGGAAGGTGACAGGCATTGAAACTTGGGAAGCACAAGCACTTAGGTAATTCCCAGTGTACACACATCCCCAGTTGTTAGTGCATTAGCCTCCTGCTGCTGTGCAGCCCGCTGAAATCTGCGGGAGAACAAGATAAATCGCACTAACCTGGCTTGATTTGAAGGGAGGGCAGGGCGTCTGCACTGCAGTTTTACTAGGTCACTTTGCTGGCATAAAATACATTGTGCAGGTAGTACCAATAGTGCAGCTTGTTTTATGATTTGTTCTTACACCTGATTCATTTCAGGCCTTCCAGGAAGTTTTAAGAAACTTACTAGTCTCTAAGAAACCCATTCACATTTATTTTCTGGTTCAGATATAAGGCAGAACGTGTCACATCGGTACCATGCCATAGCAACAGGCTGCCACGAACCACTAGGGTCTGAGCAGTAGGATCACTTAAAAGGAAAATACTCTTTAAGGGAATGTGTTTGTTTAACTACGGTCATCCTTAGTCCTACAGACACTTTCTGCTCCACAGCAATACCAAAATGTATATGTTGCTGCAGTTATGGTAGCCTTTCCGTTAAGGAATATACTGTTAAAACAGCTGTAGCACTATTTTGAGCTCTTGATGTATGTACATATAAATATATACATGTACGTATCTCCAAGACATAATACATGAAAGTGCCAGTGTAGTTATACAAACTAAGCAGCTGTTAGGTGTTTGTAGCAAGCTTTATGGAGAAATATAAAGTGTTTTGTTAGAAAAACAGAGTAAGAACTAGGCAAGCTTTCAGGTGCATGAGTATTGGGACCTTACAGCTTTGTCTGCTTTTTTTTTCCAACTATATTTGAAAGTTTACTTGAAAGATTTGCTTGACCCACAAACACTATATACTGAGCAGATATTTCATCAGTTCTTGGGGTTTTTTGTTGTTGTTTGTTTGTTTTTTTTTTTTTTTTTTTTTTTTTTTTGGAAATTTGAATCAAAGACACACAGATATCATGCTAGCAGATTTTTATCAAGTTACTCTTGGAATAATAAACCAAAAGAAAGCAAAGAGTGTCCGAGTGTAGAAAAGCAGAGCTGTTTAATGCAGACACAGTACAGCTGCTTTGATTTGGTTGTGTTTTCAGTGTTGTCCAGGATCTACTTTTCAGGGAAAAAAAGCCTCCATTTTCTATTATGCTGAAAAAAAAAATCCATGAAAATAGTTTCTTCTTTATTTTTAGTACTAAGCTGTGGTACTTGCCTCCCACACAGTAGTTTATTTCCTTTCCTGAGATAACTGCATATTCCATTCCCATTCCCCTATTTTCACGGAATATTTTGGGTACTTGCAGCAGTAGGCAAATTTGATTCATTCCTAAGTATACAGTGATAAACAACAAACTGAGGAGTTCTCAGCTTGAAGATTTAGTTCTTGGGTTTTTTTCCAATAATTTGGACAGTGGCAGGATCCAGCTGTTAATGAGGAAATTACCAAGGGTGATCTATGTCCTGGACATAGGGGCTCATAGAATTGTCCGCAGATACTCATTTCTAACAATATGAGCAATTATTTCCTCTTAGCCATCAAGTTAAGGTACATAGAGTTCTTTCTAGGACCTGTCCAGATTAACTTCACAGTTAAAAAGCAAGAGCCTGCTAACTCCTTATCCTCTTGTTATGAGTGTGATAGGAAAGCTTTTATCAAGAATAAATCAAGTCTACTTGTACAATTAGTTTCCACATCAACATTACCTATTTTGGCATTCATTCTCATTCATGCTGAGGAAAATATAATTCCTACAAAGTCAGAAAATTAAAGTAGTTCATCAAAATATCTTCATGTAATCGGTAGGAAATGTTTGTAATGAAAGGAGAAATCCAGTAGTACAAACCTAGGTTTGCCTTCTCCAGAAAGAGTCCAAATTTTAATCTATATTTATGTTTGTGGACAAGGAATAATTCAATTTGCTCAGACAGACTCTCTCTTGGTTAGATCTGCTAACATCCATCTGCTGTACAGAATATCAGAAACTGTTCAAAAATGCTGCCAAAGTTACAGTCAATTATTAGTCCACATTATTGGACTAATTAGTGCAATGTAGCAAAATTAGCTGTCCTCCAGCCCAAAAGACCGGAGCTGATGTAGCTTTTACCCCGGCCTTTCTGCTTGCAATAATATGTAGGTACTGAAGAATATGTATCCAGAGTATATTTTGCTCTAGAATCATCACCTTGGTTTCCCGGGCCCCTTATTGCTTAAATTAAATCTAGGGCAGAGTTCCAGTTAATGATTAGCAGCTAAGTCAAGTGAGCACCTCAAAGTGAAGTTGCTATAGAAGCACTGCCTTAACTAATTATGTCATTACTGGAAAAAGAATGATTGAAAGCCAGAGAAATTGATTTGGAGCTTTGTGGTCAATCATTCTGGAACTTCTAAATGGTTTCCTGAATATGAGTGCTCAGAGTAGGAAACAGCATGTAATTAATTCCACTGCAAACATGCTCGTTATTGGCAAAACGTCCACCTTCTGTCTGGACTTGAAAGAGTAATTCTCCTCTCGCAAACCCAGTGTTTGTCCTCTCAAGCTGTGCAAACTATCTGCTCAAGTTCGATCAGCAGGTATATCTTTGAGGCCTTCATCTTGATGACCTCTCCTTCTAAAAAAAAAACTTTTATGATAAATTCTTCAATTTTTAACAGTATTCAAGTTTCAGTTTTTTAGCTCATATAATCCCAAGCATTTACATGTTGTTAGGATACAAGTGAACTTTGCCAATAAAGTGATCCATGGGTGAATGTAAACCAGTGAAATTAATTGATCACTATCACAAAATAAGTACTATCACATCAACTGTTGCCAGTTAGACTCTTTTTTCAGGAAACAATCACATTTTCTGTATTTTTTTCATGACAGCAGAACATAATAGAAAACCAGTTTACCATTCAACATCCCAACAAAAATAGATGGATCCTGAAATGTATTGTTCTTTTAAGCAGTTTCTGTTAATTAAATTACTTAATTACTCTGTTAATTAAATTACTTAATGACTTCCCCTAGGGATTAAGAGAAAAGTTGAGAGGCAATGTATGATTTTAAAACAGAGCGATTCACTGTCCTTTGAAATTGCTGGGTTTTGAGTAGATAATCTGAAGTGGCCTCTATTGTTTCTGCTACCATTTACTAAGGAAGAGTCTGCTCTTGATGCACCAGCCCTTCTACATGTAGGTAAAATTAAACTTTCTGTCCACAATGCTGCTTGCTCATGAAAACATCTTCTTTTTAACTATCCAACTGCTTCAGGGTCTCATGCAGGTATCTCATAGTCCTGAATCAATATAACATTAACAAAAACATACAATTTTAAACACTTGTATATATCTACTATAATCACATAGTAAAAACTGAATGAGGTTGTTCTATATTTAAGAATATATAACAAAGCCTTCCAGAAGTATAACTATTAGAATTATTCACTGTAAAAGTAGAAACCAAGTTATGCTAAACAATGACTCCTGTTGCAGCAAGTGACATTTTTATGCTGATAGGATTCATGGTTTTGGTCAGTATACCTTCTTGGTTGTGATGTTTCCAAACTCAAATTGTAAATAAAGATGACTTGCTTTTTTGAAAGTTTTGTGACTTTCAGATCTTTCAAGAAGGTTCATAATTGTCCCTGAACTTCATATCAGGCCAAACAAGATTGAATTGACTTGATTCTGCTTTGTCCTGATTTTTATTTATTTATTTTTAATTTTAGAATTGGTAGAGTTTTATCTAACTCTTTTATGCAACTATCATAGTCAGACATGTTATTAATTTATGGAGATATCTATTTATTGCTTTGAGTTTGTTGCTTTGTTAGCCCCTCCATTAAGAAATTATTTTAAATTAAGAATTATTTTAAAATTAAGATTTTAAAATACATTTTTATATTAAAAAAAAAAAATCTCAAGTGGTTCCTAGGAGATATTGGCTGTAATTCTAGCCAAAGCACAGATGCAGAGAATTTACAGGCAGCCACTTCTGAGACCTGTTCTGTGCTCACGTCTTGCACTTTATATAATTTATCCTCCTTGCCGTGCATTCTACAGAGCCCATTTCTACTGACTGTGCTTGATGTAAACAGAATTAAGTGAAAACTAATTCAACATCTGTTCATTCTACAGTCCAGGTACACTAGCACTGGAATAATGGGGGCTGATGCATTTATTCCTCCTGACAGTCTTCAGTTTGCTTTTGCTGACCTAATGAAAGAACTAAATGTACTGCTGTCTGGTAGACAGGTAGGGAAAGGCAGGTCCTGGAAAATACTGAAAATACATCCAACGGGGATGTAGCACTGCACAGTGCAAGTACCAGAACGTGTAAGATCATGTGAACGGTGTTGCTTTAACTCATCTGGTCATTCCGCTTAGAATCAGCCTGTTTCTCTTAACCATTTCCAGGGAATCAGGTAATCTCCAGCACAGGCTGCGGTGCCCACGCGCCATCGGAGCCCCCAGGGAGCCTGCGGGGCTCCACGTGTGCTCAGAAACCGCCCGCCTGCTCCTTGGCTATCGGCTGCCCTGCGGACAGACCCGAAACTCCGGCTCCGAAGCTGCTCCGCTGCTGCACAACAGCACGGGGCTGTGGCGGATAAGAGAGAAACCTCCCCCGCTGCCTCCGCGCAGCTCTTCTTGAAGAGTTTTGCAGGGGCCAAAATACAACCTGAGACCAAGTAACTGTGAAGTTACTGCCTAGTAACAGGGCGGCAGCGAGACCGGCGAGCGCTGCAGCGCGGGCCGCCTCGCCGCCGCGGAGCGACCTTCCCCGAGCGCGCCCGGGCGGCGTCAGGCGCGCGCCGGAAAAGGCCGCGCCTCCAAAATGGCGGCGCGCGGCGCCGGGCGGCGGGGGAGGCGCAGCCTGGGGGCGGCCGCAGCGCCCTGAGGGCCCGGCCCGGCCCGCGACTCGCCCGGCCCGACCCGGCCCGACCCGACCCGCTGCAGGCGCCGCCGCGGGACACGCGCGAGATGGAGCGCCCTTGTCAGTATCCGAGAAGATCCTGAGATTCCCCGTGAAAAACAAGACCCCTGGAAACGGTCTTCTTGAGCACGCAGTGCCCCCTGTTGCTTTGCAGGCCTGCGCTTAGTTTTAGCGTATTGCCTGTTTTTTATTTGTTTGCCTATTTTTTCCCCTAACAAGGTAGTTGCAGCTTTTCCTGCAGACGCAGAGCGTGGCCGTGAGCTAACAACCACTAGCCGTGGTTAACCCGTTGGAACACGGTAGAGTACTTGTGCATTGCAGCTTTATTGAACTGGACACTAATCTGATTTTTATCTTTTAAAAAATACCAATGGGCTAATATTAATGCAGTATCTGAATTTGACTAAAAACTGTTTGCATTTGTTTTTAGGCTTAATATCCTGAAGTGCAAATTAAAGCCTAACTGGAGCATGCTGGAGCTTGCACAAATGCAACTTGCCAGAAAACTCAAACTCTGTCATGAAATAACCGTGTTGAACAAACTTCACTTGATGTGAACTAAAAGAAGAGTAACAAATCACTTCATACGAGCACTTCACAAGGGGCTGTTTTATTGTTGTAGATGTCCGTCTCACCAGTTTAGCATGGTGGATGTAGCAGAGAAAGAGATTATGGACAACCTCACATTTAAAAGTGATACTGTGCTCTCTGATGTTCACTTACACTGTCCAAACAAAAGGCATCTCATGGTGCGACTGAATGCAGCTGGACAACCAGGTAAAGGATGTTTTCTAGGCTATTAAAACTGTATTTTAAGAGTATTCAGCTTTTTATTATGTCTGAATCCTTCAAATTATTGATATGAATCATTTTGTATTTTTTCCAGTTAGAAGCAGTTGCTTCCTTCTCAGCTGTTTCAGAGCAGACTAACCAGATTTGCATTATGATATTAACCAGGCAAATTAAACCTGTTCATGTAGACTTCATAGACAGCTCATCCTAAAAAAGAAATCTTATTTATTTATTTTAATGGATTTCATACGAAGTTCAGAAGAGCAATGGCCTTGAATGTCTGTTACATAATCCAAGAAATCAAGGCTGTAGAGGAAATGATCTGCTAAACACTTCTAACCCAATGCCTGCCTTAGATCTCTATCAAATTGCCAAGGAAAATGATCTTGAAGTGATAGGAAAATGTTATGTAGAAAAGTACCTCTCCTTTCTCTGTGACAGAAGTGTTAACTGTTGTTTTTTCAAGCCCGTTTGTGACATTCAGATTAAACTTTTGCAATTATTTTGTCACATATCAATGTTAAAAGGCCGAATGTAGGCCGAGGAGCATGACAAAGAAGCTAATAATAGTTTTCCTTCGTCTGGCAAGGTCAGATCATTAATATAGTTGTATGTTAGCATACTACTTGCCATACCTGGGCTGTGATTTTGTTTGGTGCAAGGAGCATTTCAGTGCAATGAAATGACAGCATGTCGTGACAGGCCTGAAGTTACTTGATTGCCCAAAGCCTTCTGAAGTGATAAAAAATATATATAATGGGTTTTTTGTTTGTTTGGTTGGTTTTTTTTTTTTTTTTTTTTTTTATAGAACATCTTGCCTTTTTTTCTCTCGGGAAATAAGTGTTAACCCAAAAAGTAAACTTTTGCTGTTAGTTCTTCTCTGAGAAATAATTTGGAAGAAGCCATCCTTTATCCAAATTGTGAGCATTAATGTTATTAAATCAGATGAAAATGTGAGCTGATTCAAGCAATAGACTTTGAACATTTTTCTTTGTGTCTTCTGTAAGGACTTGTCCTTACAGAACTTAATGCTAGAAATTAGCTACCTGTATCTTTAGATTTTTAGTGTGTGAAACACGTGTGTTGTCATGCATTTGGAAGCTGCATATAGATTCTGTTTTTATTGCAGTGTTAACCTGCAACATACTGTTTTTCTTGTCTTCCTGTAGTATTCTTGTCACATTTCAAGCTCCTTTGGAACGCTTACAACTGGGCATCTGAGCAAAATGCAAGAGAAGCTACAACAGAAAAAGAACAGCAGTACAAAAGCAGAGGAGAGTTGTGTGACAAGGACAGGAATAATCCAAAAAATGAAGGAGAATTAAATATTAAAGGCTTAGAAGTTCTGCTAGATGAGGATGGAGACTTGGAAGTTGTCCGAAGAGCTCAGGATGCCTCTGATTCAGAAGAGGAGGATCTATTGAGGGATAGGGTGTGTCCGGTAATTCTGGTAAGAGGGGAAGATGATGCTTTCGGAGATGAAGAACAAGAACACACTTGCAATGATGTCATTAAAATAGGTAAGTAGTAGGCTTACCTTTAAGGGTAAATAAAATAAATACCTGTTTTGTAGAATAAAAATGGATTTTTACTACTTCATAAATGAAGAAATAACAGCTGTCAAATGAGATGTGATAATAATTTCACAATATTATGCTGAAAATATACCGTTAAAAACACCGTTTCTCTCTAGACGAGTGTTGGGCAATAGTATAGCAGAGAGACATGTCGCTGAGTGCTCCAAGCCTGAGTGAGTTAGACCTGCCATGTCCCTTAGTGGAGTTTTTAGCTTTCTTATGTTGAATGAGACCTTTAAGTCCTTGATTAAAATGAAAGAAAACGTAGAATTATTTTCAAACTTGCTGCTATTGAACTTATTTTGGAGAACATTTTAAAATACTTATTTCTGCTTTGCTTCCATATTCACAGAACATACTATGGCAACCCCTTTGGAAGATGTTGGTAAGCAAGTATGTGTCATCTTTGTAATATCTTGCTGTTCGTGGATTGTGCTCCAGAAGTTGCCCAGTTTATTTGCCTCTCTGTCCTGCAGGTCTGGCGTGGAGCCTTTCTTCTTGCTGATTATATCCTCTCTAAATGGGACATGTTCAGGTGTTGCACAGTCCTGGAGCTTGGAGGTGGCACGGGAATTACAAGCATCATTATGGGAACAGTTGCAAAGAGAGTTTACTGCACAGGTAAGACAGTTACTTTAAATATTATTCTGAAACTTAATTTAGAAATTTGTATGAAATTTTCATGAAGCATTGCATTCTTCCTGGGGCCCTCACCATTATTCATTTTTGGTTAACAGCTGTTTATTTATAGGTATAAGGTGAGAAAATTCTTGCAGTTTTTCTGTAAATAACAATCTGAAAAAGCAGTACTAATTTCAGGGGCAAAAGTTTGAGCAGGTTGTTTGTTTTTGTTTTTCATATTGGTGTTAGTTCAGAATGATATTCACAGAATAAAAGAGGTAATTGGTGTTTTAGTGGCTTTTTCTTTAAGCGTGACTCAGAATTCAGAACTGAAAACCAAAAGTAAGGACGATCCTAACAGTTATTAGAGAGAGTTGCTCTAAATTGTCCCTAAGCTTGAGAGAATTAACCTGAGAGTCTGGAGATGTATATAACAAATATTCTCCTTTTGACTGTCATTATCACCTTTTGCAGATGTTGGTGAAGATCTTCTGGCCATGTGTGAACGTAATGTTGCATTAAACAAACACCTGATTGAGCAGGGAAGTAAGTGCAATACAGTCAGTTTTTATGCATTTGCTTATATGTGAACTTCTTTGTGATTAAGTAGTACAAGTTACGGACAATCTACATGTTTACAAGTAAAATAAAACTCTTGTCTTGGTTGTAAGTGACTCACTTGTGAGTTTCACTGAGGTTCTTAGGAGAATCATAGACATCCAGAGGCCAAGAGAGCTGTTACATGAGCAGAATGTAGATGGCAGAGAGAACTGTGGAATGGGAAAGGATTTTGCAGGATAGACATGTAAGAGAGAACGTAAGGTGCATGTCTGCCCCTCAGGGTTGTCCTACCCTGAGATGAGGTGACTGTCTGATAAACAATTTGATGTTCAGTCAGGCCCAGCGTATTTCATATGTCTCATAATACATCTTAATCATTTGTTTCACCACAGACTTTGACTCTTTACTTCCACTTATGTATCTCCCCCTGCCTCTGTCCCCCCTCTTCTGCCATAGGAAGTGAAATTAAGGTTAAAGAATTGGATTGGATGCGAGATGACTTCTGCACTGGTAAGCAGTTATACTGGGTCCATTCAAATGGTTTCTGCAAAGCTCTCAAGAATGGGTCTGGCAGTACTCCCTGCTCTAGAAAGATAGCTTTTAAACACTGTGGGATGCTCCAGGCACAAGATAGTTTCTAGGAACATTATTATTGTGTGGACGGATTTATGTATTGGATGAGAATGGAGCAGCAGTAGCTGTCCTGTACTTTGGGAGGTGCAGACCAGGCTTGTTTATTATATGGTAATAACTCTGCTTTTTAGGCTTTTTGTAGCATGAGTACAAAAGAATCTTGATGTAATGCCTTCTGAAAAATAGCTCAACTATTGAAACAAATAGAATCATACTTTATACTTGCAAAAATCTTTGGACTTTAAAAATTTCTGTTTCCTGGAAACATTTGATACTGTCTGTAGAATGGGGTATATTTCTAAACTTTCAAAGAAAGCTTCTAAATTTTAACAAAGTTTAAAATTTAAAAAGCATGTCTAAACAGGAAGCTTGTTCAAAACCTAGATGGGCCTTTTGAATTTAAAGCAGTACTTAGTCTAGTTATTCTGTTTAGTCTAGTTTATTATTTTAGTCTGGTTAAAGTCTATAACCTTGCTACATGCTAGTAATTGCAAATTTTTAAGACAAAGAAAACTATACTCTTGCCAGTCAACTTTGGAAGACTTGGATATAAGAGAAGGCAAAGGGCATCAGGGAATGTCAGAGAATGAATAAGTTGAGGTTTTGATTTACTTTTAGTAGGGTGATGGATAACCTAAGAGAGAATGAAAATGTGTCTCTCCCATCTGTCAGGTATTCAATATGGTTAAATCTGAGTAGAGCTGTTCTCTTTGTTGCAGATCCTGCAGCTCCTTATAGGTGGTCTGAAGCAGAGATTGCTGATTTGCATGACCACTGTACTGTGATGATGGCAGCTGATGGTAGGAAATACAAACAGTGAGCTCTTGAACGTTTAAGCATCATTTGCAATAATTTAAACATATCTATTTAGCTTTTATTTTTCTTCCCTGAGAAATGAGGCCCTGTGAATTGTGATGGCTAGATTTTTGGAGGGGGACGACTTTTTTTTTTTTTTTTTTTAAGGTTTGTGGTAAGGTATTTCTAGGCTGAGAGATATTGCTTAAGTTTTGTAAGGTATAAGTTGTCTGATAGAAGTGATCCCATTGGCATGAGATAAACCTTAAAGAAGGCTTGATGTAAAGAGCAGCAGCCAGTACTGTTACGGAATCAATTGTTGCCATTAAAAATGCTGTAGGATTTAAAATAGTGTTTTGATTAGAGAAATCTAATTAAAGGCTGTTGTCGTTTCTTATGTAAGGTTTAAGTAAATATTGCATTTGAATGTAAATACTGCATGCTTGTAATCTTTTTATTGTAGTGTTCTATGATGATGACCTGACAGATGCCTTGTTCAGAACACTCTATAGAATCACACATAACTTGAAAAATTCTTGCACAGTTTATTTATCAATAGAAAAGAGGTAAGTAATTTCAAGAACCTAAACAAGCAGTAAAAAATCTCCATTGTTTGGAGATTGTAAAAAAATCTCCATTTTCCTTTCACCAGCTGAGCAAAAGCTGCCGTATCTCTTTGCGGCGAATTACTTTTTTCATACTTGCTTGATTTTTATGCATTTAGAATTTGAATTTCAGATGAGTTAATTTTCTATTTGTCTTGCATCGAATAGATAAGTCTGTGGTTATAGACCAAAATCTTCTGTAATGCCAATAGAATTTAATGTGTGAGATCAAAGATTTAAAAGTTTTGTTTTTTTTTCTTGAGCAGTGGTCTGTTGTAGTACGCTCATAAATACATTAATAGCCCTTGTTTAAATCTCTGGAGATGTGTAAGCAATAGCCCTTTGTGTTGTTCTTTTGGGGCAGAATTACCTACAATAAGTGGAAAAACTAAAAAGACTTATCCCCGAGTTATTGATGTGCTAATCTTAGTGTAAGTCCTGAGAGTCAAAACCAGAACAAAACAAAATGGTAAGATGAACTAATAAAATTAGGAAGTCCCACATTTTCGATTAGCTTAGGAAAGTTACATAGCTATTTAAAATGTAAGGATAGGAGAGAAACTTCTGGTGAATTATTTTCTTGCCAGGCTGAACTTCACTTTAAGACATATGGATGTTACATGTGAGGCCTACAATCACTTTAGAAATACTCTAAATGATCTCGAGAACCTCCAAGATGGAAAAATGAAATATATTGTGGAGCCCATTAAACTCGATTTCTGCCAGTTTCTCATTTATGAACGAACTGAGCAGTTGGTAAGTGACATTCATTAAAATAAATGTAATGTGTCAGGCTAATTATCTCAAATTATTTTTCTGCTGTTTACTTAACATGAAGTAAGAACAGAAGAATAAACATTAGCTCCTTATTTCTGTTAAGCTATTTTAAAATGATTTCTTGTTTTGTACTTACATAACCTATACTAGATTTATATAACATGCCCTCTTGTATCACTGAGCAGTATAATGACTTAGATTATTTCTCTGCCTTTGAGGAAATGAGTTCAATCTGCATTACTTTTAGAAAAAAACAAATTTTGAGCTTGACTAGAAAATGGGACCGATATCTCTCTCATTTATTTGCTTTTAATGAGCTCTTATTTTATATTGAAGTAGTTCCTTTACAAATTCAGGATTAAGGAAATAAGGCTTCAATGTTCAAGTCAATTAGCTCTACACTTCTATTACTTGGAAATTTCTGGAGAATGGATAATTGGTGTTTTTCATTTTTGTTATCCTGCAAAGGGAGAAGTGTCAAAGAAAGATATTCCTGTGAGCGCTAGTGTTGCCCTCAATAAATGGAGGATTTGGGGAGTTGTTTTTTTTTATTATTTTTTTTTTTGGGGGGGGTTCTTTTTAATCATATCTTTACAGGCATTGTTTAAAGTGTCTGTCAACACAAGCCAAGAAAACGAACAAGATTCTTAGTCAAAACTGCTGAAGACATTCAGACTAATGAAATTATTCAGATTAATGAAATTATATATAAAAAGGATTTTAATTATGCTGTTTTTATTTAAAAATACTAAAAGCATAAAGGAATTCACTTGTATCTCAAAGATATTTTTCTTGTTACTCTAGGAGATTAAACAAATGGATTTACTATGCAAGTACAGGGAATGGCTTAAAACTTGTCTTAGTGTGAGTGTTGAACTTCTATTCATAATCACAATCTACTGAGCTGAGAAAATATGTGTGTGTATTTTTCTTTCTTTTTTACAGGAACTGTGGAAGGTCTTTGCTGAACAGCTGACGTGACTGGGACATGAGAAAAATAAAACATAGTTTGAGAAAAGATAAAGGCTTTTTGGATGCCAAATTTAAAATGGATTCTTGTCCCAAGAAAAGGATTTTTTTCTGGTGGAATCATGTTCTTGGAAAGTGATAGCTTGCTTCAGTAATTTATATTTTCGTGCTTTGGACATGGTTTCTGTATCACTTTCTGTTATGAAAGTATTTCACACTGGTCCTCAGAGTACAGATCCAAAACAATTTCTCTGCCTGATAATACCCCATAATGTTGCATCTTGAACTGTGTCAAAGCTGGGGTGCTGTATGTTCTTGAGCTTTTGTGATTTAGTTCTTAAATTCTGACAAAGAGCTATCTAACGTTTTTCCATAGGGCTGGTTTGCAAATGTGCATTTTCATTTTTCGCTTTCTGAACTTAGGTGCTGTTTCCAGTCTCAAGCCAATTCCATGTTATTTATAGACCTGTTTGAAACTGTCTTCCAGGCAAGGCTTAGTTGTCTTTAACAGACTCTTTGTTTCCCTATCTTTTAAGAAATCCGTTTATGAAATACAGTCTTTCAATTTATCCTACCAATACCATTCTAGTTTAGGGCTACTGTCTTATTTGTAAGGAGACAAAATGCATTTAGGTTTAAGCCTCTCAAAAAAGATCTTGCAGGTATGTTTTCCTACTGGCAGTTTAAGCTCTTCTGCCCTTGCCAGGCTGAAGGTGGAAAGATTTCATACCAAAGGACTTGATTCCATTCTTTAAATGTCACAACTTTTGCCCTCGGTACATTTGAGGTTGGGGAGCAGCAGATGAGCGGTGTCAGAAATGTCTTGACTGTACAGATGAAGTCTTCTGTGTCCTTGGGTTTTGGGTTAAAGTAAAACATATTGATCAAATCTCTTCTGAGCAATTAAAGAAGCCAAAACTCATAATGTTTGCATTTTATATTTTTAATGCCTACTATTGCATTATATTACTTGCCACATGTACAGTTAGTGAAGCTTTTTTGTTGTTTTCTATTTTTTTTTTAGCTTTATGAGAGTGTTAATAATAAACATAATATATGAGGTGGATGTATAATGTGGGTAACAAGCCCGAAAATGCTAGACAGGCACAGGACTTCCAGTTCATATAGTTTATGGAAAACTCAAATAATTCAGTATTATGAAGTTGGACAGTCTTGGACTATAAGCTACTGGAAAAGAATTTGCACAATTTGTTGTGAAATGTTGAAAGACCCTTTTGGAAAATTCATATACTTTTTGATCTCCTTTGATTTAGCAAAAAAAAATAAAAAGGTTTTGCTTTCATTAGCAAATTACTAAGTGTCTCTTGCCAGTGTCATTCATTCCTGCAAGTTGTTTACTCCTGTGAAGAGGAAAAGACCATGCACACTGATTTGAAAACTTCTTACTATCTACTCCTCAGGGGCAATGAGAATGAAGAAGTTTCATTTAGAAAACTTTCTACACTGGTCAATTAAGCCATTCTGCACTGGAAATACTTCAAATCTGTAGTCTGATTGGTCAACAAAAAGGATCATGTTGAGGAAAGATAAAGACAGTGGGCGTGGGAAAAACCTAAACACTTTTGGTGCACTTATTTCTAATAAAAATGTATAACTTTGGGGGAAAGAGGGGGAGAAGTGCATATTGGAAGGACACACCATCAGCCAGTAGGAATTCATATTTGAAACAAGCTGATTTTCCTGTTTATGGCCCTGGTGTATATGGATGGTACATACGCTTTCCCAACTCCCCTCTTCAGATGAAGATTCCAGCACTCTTGAGGGATCACTGTTCTGCTTTTATCTTGTGAGAGGGACATGGATAACATGATGGAGATATCGGTCAAAAGAAGAACTAGATCTTCTTAACTTAGATTATTACACCTTAACTTGCCAGTAGTGCTCATTTTATTTCTTTGAACTGTCTGTTGCTGTGGAATGTGGAGAGCTGCTTTGCTGTGAACCTGTTTGTGTTTCATTTTGTAGTAGAAAGAGAAGTTACTTAAGATGTAATTGCATTACCTAATGTATTATGTATATTATCACTATTTGTTCTCACGTGTAGGTGGCTGTTCATAGACCATTCTTGCAGCTCCATCTGTTGTATAACACTTTGAGTCAAAACATTTTTTCCACAGTTTGTTAAATATCATGTTCCTTTTGGAGTAAAAAAGGTTTTAGCAATATTTTACTGAGAAATAACAGTTTCCAGCTTCAATATTTAAGACTGCACTTCTGATTTGATGATGGTAATGTGTGTGTGAACTTAAATGACCATGAAAATAAGGCTGGAAAAAGGGAGGTTTAATAATCACTTCTGAACACTGTTTTAGAGTGCAGGCTCCAACAGCTTGGCATTTTCAGGAAATGTTCCAGGAAAGGGTGGGAATAACTTTACTGTGTGTAATATGGACTTGTAATTCATTAAAAGACCAGGAGTTAAACTGGAGCTTATAAAGTTTTACAGCAAATCTATATCATGAGATCATCTCTACAAGGTTGAAACATTGCAGCATCAGCTCTTCAGGTTTTCACCAGAGACTCTAGGAGTCTGATCGTGATAGTTCTCTTTTTCTCTCTTTGTTCTGCTAGTAGATGAAATTTAAAGAATTTTGTGTATTTGAGCTTTCTAGCCTCTTCCATGTTAGAATCAATAAGCCAACGGCCTCCAGGGTCTTTTCTTAAGGAACCAGTGTAATACTTGACCTTCTGTAGCAAGTAAATGATTGACTATTTCACTGCTAGGGTCACTCTGGGAGTGGGTTATGTGCATGTTAGCGGTGGCCATACAGTGTTAAATTATTTTTGTGAACATTCGGCATGCTACTTCTAAACAGGGATCTACTTCTTGCTAGAGGTCTTAGATAACACAAGGGGTTTTTTTTGGGGGGGGGGGAAGGTGGTTTGTGTGTTTGTTTGTTTGTTTTAAAAGGCTTATTGTTCTTCACTTGGTGCTCTCCATACAGAATGAATTACTTACAAGGTAGAATAAAGAAGATTCGCAGAAAGAAAATGCTTTTAGAAAAATGCTTTTGAAGAGCAATTCCATTCTTAAGTGTGATTATGGTATTGATAAAACTGAAAAATACATTTGGCAAAGATGAGCTTGTTAATAGATTAATGCCCACATTTAGAGTCTTGGAAAATCTTGTTAGGACTCATGTTATATGAAACTTGAGAAGCAACAGAGTTGAGGAACAGCCCTTCCCCACCTCTTCCTGCAGTTTGTGTTGACAAGCTAATGACCATTAATAGAAAACAACCAGGTTCTGGTCTTTAATGGGATCTGTCAGAACTGCTGGGAAGAAGCTGTTTGTTTCAGATTCAGCTGAGTCTATTTGCAAATCCTACGCCTCTCTTCCCTTTTCCTGCCCTCTAAATTGACAACTACGTAGTGGTTTTCACAAAGTGCAATTCAGTGATTAATGTGTTGATAGGTAACTGGAGAGTTACATCTGGCTGACCAGGCGAGCACGTTTTGGGATGTGTAGCTAAGGAAAAAGGATGGAAGGAACTGAGCCAAGTCTTTGCAGGTTCAAGGCAAGTAATAGCATTTGAAAAGAAGCTACTTTGTGCTGTTCGTCTGTCTGTACTTGATCGCTTCAGTGTTTGGCATAGGTCAAAAGGCTTTTATTTTCTGGCAGGCTGTAATTAACAGGACTTTATCCTGCTTCTGTTTCACTCCTCCTGGCCCTGCCTTTCTGTGGGTTCCTACCTGAATCTGTGCTAAAAGATGGTGCATCAAGAGCCTAAAGGTTCATCTTGAAAAACATGGCCTTTGTAGGCTGCCAAAGAGCACAGTCACATGGAGTTGTGCAGCGTGTTTCCTAGGAGGGAAGCCTACCAAACCATGAAATACTCCTTCAGAAATAGCTTGCACAGGCTCTTCCAAACTATCTTGGGTTGCAGGAGGGGAAAGGTGTATCTCATGACCAAACTCTAAGTTTAAAAGCAAGAAGCTTGGACATAATGCCTGCTATGTACCATCCTGGAATCACAAAACTGGGCTATTTTTGTATATTAGACTGAATTAAAAATTTTCTATCATGTTTTTAGATTTAGTAACTCAAGGAGAAGCATGATTTTATGTACTCTGACCTCCTATTTAATATAGAATTTCTATAAAAAATAATAATTTGTTTTATCTATAGTACATTTTCCAGGAAGTCATTCAGCCTTCAGTACAAAGAAAGAGACAATTTATGGCTTTCCTTGGCAGCTTGTTTGGTGGTTAATAATTTCTCATGGTAAACACTTGTGCTGCGCTTTCAATTTGAATTGCTTTGTTTTCAACTTGCAGCTTCCAGCTCCTTGCTACCAGGGTCAGTGTGAGAATATAAGCAACTTGGATAATTACATAAGATGACAGCACACAAAAGCAGCAAAAATAGGCCAGACCTCAACTGCCTGAATTCACAGTCCACAGCAGCATTTCCCTGTGTAACAGAACACTGAGCATTTGCACACTCTTCTGCGCACACCTTTGGCTCTTTCCATATCATGAGCTTCTAAACCTTTCAAAGTCCTTAAATTGATAAATAGCTTATGGAAAATAAACCTTCCTTTTAGCATTTTGCTATTTTAGCATCAGATGTTATCCAAATAACTTGTTTTTCTTAAAGCTAAAGGCTCCAAAGCTGCTATAGGTCATGAGGAGAAGGCTTTCCATTTCCATAGCCATCAAGTAGACACAGACCGAGAAGAAAATGAGCTATATCATTTTGTGCAGCTGGCCTCTATTTTGTTTCTCCTTGTTTCTGTTTTCGTTAACCTTACCTATATCAAAACATGTGAATGTAAGAACTGCGTTTCTCAGATAAAGTTTATCCAAATGTAAACAATTTTCTTGAAGCAGTTTATGAATTTCAGTGGTGCTTTCTTTGGTTTTCCAAAGCACCCCTTCTTTCTCCCACCTTCACATCTCTCTAACCAGGTTCCTCGCACGTTGTCCCTCCTTCTCTATTGCTTCTAAGCAAGTTGGGTTACATTTACCTCCTATGCCTAAGGTTTTTGAGTCACGAGCATGGAAGGTAGCAAAATTTTAGTATATATTACCAGTAGTGAAGTATTCCCCTTGTCTTGAGTTCTTTGGGTATCCAGCATATTTTTGCAATGCTACAGAGGTTTTCTTCCAGCAGATGGCACACGGACTTTCCCTTTACAGTACCAGCACTCAAATGCTGTAACTATATATATCTGTGTGTTTTTTTAAGGCTTACTTGCCCATGTCAGTCGCAGGAATATCTGGAAGGGGAGATGTGAAGGAATATCCCTCGTTTCTACAGCAAGGTGAGAGCATTTTCTAAGTTTCTTTCTTTTGTATGCGGGATTTTCTTTGGTAATAGCATACTGGCAGTAAATTGTACTCTGCAAAAGATGCCCTTGGTTTGATGCTTTCTTTTTTCTCCTCATTTTCCTGTATCTAATGAATCTGAACAAAACAGTGTTCTGTTTATATTGCTAGGGTTCAAACCTGCTTAGGTAATGCAAGTAATACACAGCTATAAGGAAAAAGGAGTTATTTAGAAGAGGAAGGACAGAATTCGTTGCAGAAATGTGTGACCCCCAAATGTCTCTGCAGCTTTTGAGTCCAGTCTCTGCTAGAACAGGTGACTATACCTGTGGTTTTTGTCAAATGGGCTCCCTGTGCTATTCAGCAGATGCTGTTTTTTCTCATTGCAGCCTGATATTGATTAGAGAATCAATACGTAGTGACAGGTAAGAGGTTATTGTTATTAACATTAGCTCCTGCTTCAAAGAAAAATGCATGTGATGCGTTCGCCAAGAAAATTAAGAGTGAATTAGACAGATATAATACTATAAGAAAGGGAGTATTCGCTGTCTTGTAATGGGCTGACTCGATTTGTTCAGGAGGCTCTCAGCTGCAGGTTTATGTGTAGATTCATAGGAAATTAGGTCAGAAGGGACACCAAGAAATGGTCTGCTCCGTTTTTCTCTCTGAGCAGAATCATGTGGAGCGGAGAGCCTGAGGAGAGCTTGTTTTGCTTGTTATTAAAGCCTCTAATGACTGAGATTCTGTATTGCCCCCAGTAAATTGCGCCGGTGCTTTAGTATCCCCTTTGATGGAAAGGTTTTCCTAGTGGCTAAACCGCTTGTTTTCTAGCAATTTGAGATCATTAAATCTTTCTTACTACAATCAACATCAGTCGGAGGCAGCTGCGTGGGCTCTCCATGGGGGTCATCT